ATATACATATGTAAATAATACCAATATTAACATTTGTAAACATATGAATAGCTATATTTTTATTCAGAACCAATGATGCAAAAGACTTGAAATAACTTTCAGGTCTTGGTGTCTGAAGATATCTGGAGGACTCTCTCAAAGTTCCTACAGCCCTGTACCCACCCAAGCTTTGATTTGCATAAGACACTCCAATGTGACTTCAAGTTAGGAACAATAAGATTCGTTTCACAGGGTGATTCACTCTTGAGGATACAAGTGGTGCATTATGAGATAAATCAAATTTTATAAGTTGAGAAAAAATTATCTTATTATTCATTATACTTTAGTCAGTACCTCCAACCGTGTGTCTCATTTCTGAATCCATCACAGATGAAATCCTGTGGGATTTCATTCCAGTGGGATTTTTTATGTAATCTCAGCTACTCAGGAGATGTTAGGTGGGATGATCACCGTCCAGGCCAACCTGGGCAAAAACCTGAGGCCCTACCTAAAAAATAACTAAAGTACAAAAAAGGCTGAAGGCATGGCTCAAGTGGTAGAAGACCTGTCTACAAAGTGAGTTCAGACCCCAGTACTGTCAGAAAAACAAAGAGAGAGAAAGAAAAAGAAAAATCTAGGTATAATCTGCTTCATCTCACAAATGTTTTTGTTGTCATTGTTTTAGTTTGATTTTTGACTAATTTGTTTTTATGAGACAGGGTCTCACTGTGTAGTCCAAGCTGGCCTCAAACTCACAGTCCTGCCTCTGACTCCCAGGTGATAGGATTACAGGCTTGTTCACCATGCCCAGAACAAGCTTTTTTCTTAAGTCAATGTTCTAAAGCACAGTGATTAAACCCCAAAATGAAGCCTGTTCATACCTTTATGAGAGGGGTTGGCACCCAGCAGCTCTTTGTGTTGTATCTGCTGTCATGGGGCAGAGAAGACTGTGCTCACCAAACCTGGGAACCCACTGCAGAAAAGGCCCTGTCCACCCTAACAACCAATCCCAAAAGAGTGAGCACAGCAGGACTTTTGTGTGAGTGGTGGAAAGTTCTGGGGAAAAGACACAGAATGACTTTGGAGTCACCACAGAGAGCTGCCCAGTGAAGGGAGTGGACTGGAAGGCCATCTCCTGTGTCTGTCCATGGCTGCCCACTTTCTACACGTGAAGGTGCGGGAGGGTACACTGGAACCTCTGTTCCTCATTCCTTGTTTATTCCTACAGGGCTATTCATTGGGTGTCAGGTGACAGTTCACAGAGGTGCTCAGGCCAAATGACATTAGAAAAGTCAGGTTAAACTTAACAACCTATTAGTTGTTAAAGAGCAATTATCTGATACTATCTAACATCATACTTAATTGTCAAATATGACTAACTCAGCATGAACTGATGGCAAGTTATAAAAGAACTAGAAAGGTGTTCCCTAAATCCAGAGTCAGCCACTTCAGCTCAGTGCTTTCAAAAATCCTAGGGAACAAAGACAAAATCCTACCAAATAGGAGCCCCACAGCCCACGTGCCTTCTGCATTAGCTGGGCACGGGGTCTCCCAGGCATGAGCTCTAGAAGGCACTCACAAGGGCCAGGTGAGCCTAAGTGACACCTGCCTGTGTCAGGTGAAGTTTCCTCTCCAGTGTCTTGGGCTTCCTTCCAGGGAAAGAAAGCTCCATTCTTGACTCTCAAGGCTGATTCCCCTGGGGCTGGAAGGCGACCTGGACAAGGAGAGCCCAGGGTGTCCTTGGCTCTCAGAGACCCTGTGCCAGGCCCCTGCTCCTCACTCAGGGCCATGTGTGTGCTGCCCCCACTCAGACGAGGGTGCAGTGGTCTGAGGCAACTGGCTCGTAATCTATGGTTGACTTCTAGTACCTGAATTGCTATTGGACTCCCTTCGGCTGATTCTGTCCTATAATTTGTCAATTGATTAAAATGCAGAGATGAAACTGGGTCTATGAGATCATCCTCTTGAAAGCCCAGGACAACACTGATGAACTTGAACTGCTGGGAATCAGTGTTGGCAGGAAAGTTCCAGCAGCAAACCGGAGGTGAGGACATGGTCAAGGGAGACAGAGAGCCGGAGGGAGGGCTGGCAATACATTCGTGAGCTGGAGAGCAGGACCAGGTGGGAACAATGGATCTGTGCTTGTGAGGCTGGAGGTGATGATGGTGAATTTATAACGGTGACGTTCTCACATAAACTTAAAGGACGTGGTATCCTTTCAGAGTCAGAAAATTATAGTTTAGGAAAAGCAATGTCTCCAGCCAGAGCTAACAAACCAATCTCTGCTTTTCCAATGGGTTTCTCGAAGGGAAGACCGTTGAGGAGAACTGGGGAAGCAGGCTGGGGTTCCCACCTTATGATGCCCTAGTTGCCCTTCCTTCTGTATTAAAATGTGTCAATTGAGGTTATCCACCAGAATTCCTTCTGATGCTGGTCATATGCATACACTTTGAGAAAAGTAAGGTTTTAAACAAATATAAGGTGTAAGTTATATTATTATTGTGGGGTTCTTAGCCCTATGTTATTACATCCTTTTATCTGCTTGGACTAAATCTCTTTGAACTAAGCCTGAGATATAAAGTTTTAGTGTGTTCCAATTTGGGATGCAGCCTAACCACCAAGTTTGTGGCCCTTGAACACAAGTTGCATGTCCTGCTGACGCCAGCCTGCAGCGTCCAGGACAGAGAGCTGTACAGGTATCCAGGCCAGAGGAGATGATGGCCAGGACATGTCCACACATTGACCTTAAAGATCTGATCAGGGTCAAGCAGATATGGAGAAGGTATATGATCATCTTAATTAATTAAACGGCACTTGTATGAGATTCCATGGTTTTCAATTGGACAGAAACTTATCTGGATTCTGGGGAGAGAATGCAGAACGGATCTAAATGCATTGTGTGAGTAGCACTGCACTATTTTGCTATAATTCAGGAAATGTGTTCACCATTTACCTGCTCCACTTCACTCAGTTTCCCTTCATGACTCCTTAGAGTACATCTTCAGTATAGTCATTCTCTTTTGCAAAATTTATAATTAAAAATAGCGTGTGGAAAATACGTCGAGCCTATCCACTGCAAGGTACTTGCCAACGTTAACCACGGGGAAATACCATTTTTTCACATAATTGCTTTTCCTCACATGATTACAAAATTTCAAAAAATGGGAACCAGAAAGCAATAGAAGCCTGATCTAAGATTATCCAAGTTTGTGAGGCCATTCTGTGACCTAGGAAGTGCGGCTGTAAAACCTTAAACTCTCTGTGAGTTTCAGTGAGTTAGAAGTGCTGCAAATACAGCCTTTTCTTACATTATTTGGGAGTTTATATCCAAGTCTGGGCCCCGCATGGGATAATGGGAGAAGGAGGCTGTGATTCAGTGAGGATGCCATCTGTCTCCTCGCGGTCCAGCTTGTCAGTTCATCTCTAATTCCCTACAAATCTCCATCCTACTCATTTCCTTCCTAAAGAATTATAAAATAAGAAAGAGCAATCAAGGGGGAAAATGAAGTACCATTCAGGGGGGTGCTTAGTATATTTGTAATATACAATCACCATCACTCTGTAGTTCCAGGATATCTTCATAGTCTCAAAAGGAAACTCCATAGCCATTGAGCAGTCACCCCCACTCCCCCTGTCCTGTCAGCCATTAATCTCCTTTCTGTTTCTAGTCTATTATGGATATTTCACACAAATAGAATAATAAAATAAAAAGACTTATACCAGAACACCATCATACATTTATATTCCAACCCAGTGGCCACAAACCCTCTGAAAGGGAATCCTATTTATTCTCAGTTTTGGCTCACATTTTCTGTGTGTGTGTGCACAGTAAAATTCTTGACCATATATAAGTGTTTTTGATTATATAAATTTAAGGTTCTAAGAGATTAAAATAGGAAATGGAAGCTTTCTAAAAGGTTTCCATGCAGCTGGATTTATATATTAATTTTATATTTTATGCAGGTTTATTTGGTAGACTTAACCTCATTCTGTGAAGAATCATAATTAGGAGAAAATCACAAATTTACTGATAGCAAGAAATTATTATTTTTCTTGGAAAATCCATGGTTTCCAACAGAGCAAAGAGTAAGACATTTCTTCCGGAATGTAGATTATAGTGTAAATTACCCTCAAATCATAATCCATATTGAATATGCTGATCAATATGCATTGGGATTTCATGTGCGAGTATCTTCAGAACAATTTTAATATCTCTGTATCTGAAATCTTCTGAGAGGTCTGTATTTATAGAAGAACTCTCCCATTAACACATGTTACTTTTAATGTTTTCCAAGAAACCCTTAAATGCAGCAATTTTGGGGAATTTGGTAAAGAAGTCTATGTGGACAGCAAAGAAATTCTCAGAAGGCTTCGTTCAAAGACAAGCATATGTGTGAAGACTTCTGGAGCAGTTTTGCTTTCAGTCGTCAGCTCAAGGTCATTATTAGTGACAAGAATAATAGCAAAGCTTTCCATTGACAAGATGCCATGGAAATTTATAATTTTAAGATGATCAAATAGCCCCTAAAAGCTACTGCTCAAAGACGATTAAGGCTCAGAGCCAAGATGATTACCACAGAGATCCTTGTCAAATAATCCAGGAAATAAGTAAAGAAACAAGAGGAAGGATTATTTCATCATCAAACTGGCTGAGAGAGACATTCAGGGCTACTCAGTGAACTCCAGGGCTTTAGATATTCTTGGACTGTCTTCTTTCTAGATTCAGAAACTTTTATACTACTTGATGCACAAAAGTCACATACACCTTTATTCCAGAAGGCATTCATTTGCACATCTTTGCAAGAGAAATGGCTTGATTAATTCTTCAGTGTGCGTGGATGGGAAAGAAAGTGAGAGGACAGCTTACACCTCTATGTTATGATCACTAATACCCTGCAAGAAAAATCACCTTGGGCAAATGGAATGCTTAAACGAAGCTTAACTTCCGGGCATCTTTAGAGCTCAGCTTCTAGGTTGTGTGTGGCAGGACTGACGCAGGGGCCAGCATCCACCATTCCTACCTTCTATGCTCATCTTGACTGTGGAGGCGACCATTCATGGTATTCACCAGAAAGCCAAATAAGCGACTGTATAAGGACTTGGCCAAGAGATCACGGTAAAATTCAGCCATCTGTATAGAATGTCGCCGGATTATCAAGTCTCCTAGAATAGTACAAAGAAGAGGAGGCATAAGGACAAGGGTTTCCCTCATTTAGAAGCCAACAAAACTATTCACACCCCAGTTTTTCTCCACAAGTCCACACGTATGAGAGGATTAAAAATTACACTGCAAGTCTAGTAAACGAGGTATCTGTCAGGAACTGTGTAGAGTGTTCACCTGGAGTCAAGTGCATTGCCCTTGTAGTGCTACAAGTTCTGACTGCAGCTTTTGACTGCATAGGTTGTGCGGTTTCCTCTCAGTTTGGGAAATAGCCCTTCACAAGGCCCTGACGAGCAAGTTTTCTGGTAACAACCCACTGATTTGGGTACTGAATCATCCCAGGGCATGTAGAAGCCAGTCCATGTGGAAAAGTAGTTGGATTTTAACAATTTTCAAGGACAGTCTAATTAACCAAAATGTAGCCTAGAGATTGGGGACAAGATTGGGCTTTCAGGTAGAAATTGATATATTGTTCTAAAAAAGACAATAAATGAAATCTTGAGAGAGATTTTTAGAAGGAAAGGGACTAGAGAAGGGAGAAGAAAAGAGAGAGGGAGGACGGTCTGGATCAGAGCCCATCATGGCACTCTCTCTGGGGAATAAGCGTGAATGGGGGTCTGGAGTCATGTTTCATGGCTATGGTCAAACTGACCAACCACTGTGTCTCAGGCTGAGTAGGGACTTGTAATAGGATGATGCTGGCTATCAGTTGGAGGAACAGGTAAGAAAGTCCAAAATGCCACCACCACGGATGTGGTCAGAGAGCTACGAGGTCCAGGCCATTAAGAAGGAAAACACAAGGTGGGAGTGAAAGCAGTTTTGGCCATCTAGCATATGGTAGAACCAAGATCTCTAGAGTCACCATGGTTGAGGAATTCTGATGAGTACCCAACATGGAGAGTGGATTAGTGGAGCAGTGAGAGCAGAGGGGTCTACACAGGTACATGTAGATGATAGCGGCAAGCTTAATTTTTCTTCAAAAAGCCATGATGAAGAATGGCATACTTGGGGTTTGTCAGGATGCTTAGTGTGGTTGGATCCAGGGGTGCTGGTAGAAGTGTATGACATGTCAGGTACAGCTCAGAATATAGAAACTGCTGATGCCACCCTAAAGTGAGCTATCCTTAAAGGGGTTGGGGTGTCTTTGAAAGTCTGTTAGCTACAGATGAAAAGCATATTTGCACTTTATAAAAATTCTTTTTTTTTTCTTGGCAGCACTGGGGTTTGAACTCAGGGCCTCATGCTTTTTAGGCAGGTGCTCATCACTTGAGCCACTCTGCCAGCCCCTTATGCTTTGGTTATTTTTGAGTTAGGTCTTGCTTTATGTGCAGACAGCCTGGACTGAGATCCTCCTGTTCGTGCTTCATTGAGTAGCTGGGATGACAGGCACACACCACCACACCCAGTCATTGGTTGAATGGGGTTTCAGGAACTTTTTGCCCGGCCAACCTGAAACTGTCATCCTCCTGGTCTCTGCCTCCTGAGTAACTAGGATTACAGGTGTAAGCCTCTATTCCCAGCCCATGAATATTATTTCTGAAGCACTGTGGAAGGAGGACAAAAAGAGGTAAGGCCAGATAAAAGGCTGGAAAGACGCTGTGGCCATGACCCATGAAAGGAACTGGGAAGGAAGAATGAGCATTATCTATGGGGTCCAGCTGGCACATGTATTACCTATTCAATGGAGAAGGAAGGGGAGGAGGGGTCCAGAAACCTAGGTAGGAGGCTGAGCAGTTAATGGGAAATTCATGAATTTCAGGAACACAGAAGGGAAATTCAGAGAGTAGGGATGAGGCAGAAATCATAAGCCACACAGCTAAATGCCTGCAAGTCAGTCCTAAAAGGCTAGCGGTAGGAACAGGAATAATTTAGAGAAAAAGGATCAGGTGGGTGTAGTGCCCACAGTCACAGCAAGGAAGAAGGTTGTCAAGCCTTGATTTAAAATGAGCAACTGAAGTGCACATAGGAAGACCAGTGTGGCTGTCCACTGAGCAGGGACGCCTCCAGCACAGAGTGGGCACGTTGTCTGGGAGTCAGGCAGTGTGAGATGCTAGCATTTACCAGTGATTTAATCTTTTGGAATCTTAGCTTTCTCATGTTAGAATGGACACAGTTATGCCCGCCTCGTGACCATTTGTCAGAGATAAAAAACTGCAACATTTAGAGCACTTGGCACCATGCCCATCTATTCATAAATGACCTGTAAATGACAGCCATGATTCTGAGCATGAGGCTGAGGACAAAGGTCAGGTCCTTACTGACAGGGACAGCATGGCGCCACACTCGCAAAGGGTCTGCGTTTTATGGGAATAAATCCTCTTGGATTGGTGGCTTGTCTTTCTAAAGTGATAGAAGAGCTAGAAAGGGCCATCAGTTAATCAAACCGGAACCTCAGTTGCACTGACATAATTTGTCACACAGTCATGTGACCAAACAACAGGCACTAATGCTTCATTCACTCCATTCACAGAGATGGTTCCCCCAGTGGGGACATGCAAAGTTGTATTTAATTTCCCTATTTGAAAGAAGACCACAAGCTATATGAAGTGGAAAGTCAGAGTAGAGAAAAATTTACCTTTAAAATACTGAATATCAGTTGTTAAGGCGGAAGCCAACTCGTCTGTTGATACTTGCAGCATTGCAGCCACTGAAATTAAAGCAGGGATATAAACAAGAAGTTGGTTCACATTTGTGATACTAAGAACATCACAGTCTATATTTACAGTGTGTGCGGTTCACACAGGCACATGAGACCACGCATGCACTAAGGACAGTAATACTGCTGGAATTGTCGAGTTCAAGCAGAGAAACATCTTAGAGCATGAAATCATAACAGCTTCTTTTCCTCATTGTCCTCACAGATAACACCAAATGACTTTTTCCAAATTCCTTATTAAGTCACTCTGATATAGGTGAAGACAGGCTGTTTTTTGACAATCTGTGATTTTCAGGTATTTTAAAAAAAAATGGCTGTAACTAGCAGGGCAATTTCAGAGAAGAGAGAAGTTTTCTTGGCAAGATCTTTGAAGGGAAGTAATTATTAACTGTTTAAAATATTTCGCTAATTACATGCACCATAAATACATGGGTGGGGGTGGGGACAGTGGATATTGAGAAAATTCTAAAATAACCTCAAGCATGTGCTGCAGAACCAATGCTGTTGATTGGTGCGTGGAATGAGAACATAAAAGTACATCCTGTTACTCCATCCCACAGTTATTTAGAAGAAAGAACAGAGTGGATGTCTCCCTGCTGCTCCCATCCCCCTTGAATTCTACTCCAGGGGAGGCAGCTATTCCCAGGGCTTTCTGTACTATGTCTCCATCTACTGGTAAGTTTACAAAACCGCACACCAAAGAGGTCAATGTCAAGATGGTGTACCACTGACCTTGTTCCAGAAGCTGGAGGTCAGAAACGAAGGCGGAGTCTGTGTCAGTCAGGGCAGTGAACTGAATGTCTCCAATGTGTAAAATCGCTGCTAGAATTACAAACAGGTTCTCCACCTCCTACGTGATTGACAAATAAAGAAATGAACAGAAAGTCTTAGAAGAAAGATGAAAAGACGAATCCTTTGAAACCTCCTAAACCCAGATACAGAAATGGTGTAGACCCTATTGGCAGTATTGTCAGTTTTCACATTTGCAATGTTGATAAAGGAACTACTGATTCGTATCTCAAATTCAGGATCCCAATGTTCAATGCACATCTCCTCTAAATCAATGTTTGTGCTTCTCGAACATGAGTGTGAGGATGTGTTCTGATGTGAATTAATGGCTTCTAGGTAACTATTGTAAAAACTGGATGACCATGCACCGAGGTGTGATTAGTGTACCGGGGTCATTCCTGTCCACTTGGGGTGACCCTGGACTACAGAGAGAGGTGGGGGACATTGCAGGGCTGTGGCTGCTTCCTTTCAGAATCCATGGCACGGTGTGTTTCCTGGGCAGCTGTCCTATGTGATGATTACAGAATTGCTCCCTTCTGGCATAATTAGAACAACTACTCCGGAGGAACAAAGTGGAAATTGCTCTTTAAGGCTTTTCCAAGAAAATTCGGGGAACAACTGTTTATTAGCATGAGCTATCTTTGAGCAGAAGGTAGAGGAAGGAAGAGAATGGTTGCTGAAAGAGAGGGTCTAAAGACAGTCCCTTTCTCCTAAGAAAAGAGAAATGAACCTCCACTTGTGTTTTGCAGTAAGAGTGAAAAATCAAAAAAATGGCTTCAAGTTTAATAATACTGAATATTTAGCATGGGTTATCAGTGGTGAGATAAGTTGAGCTCCACAAAGAGCAAGGAACCTGCTCAGTCCTCAGTTCGTAATCTGTAATTTGGGAGTAAAGGCTCCAGCCACACCTCAGTGGAAGGTGTTTGAGAACATGCTCATCTCACCTACAAACACACAGCCAGAGTAATGCAATCCTTGGGACTCCCACAGATTTCCCCAGAATGTCCAGTTTTCATCACAGACCATGCTTCTACCATCTGTAAAATGGCAGCATTGAGGCAGACAATCGCGACTCATTGCTACAATCGGGCAGTTATGGTGCTGCTCAGAAATGTGTCAGCCAGCCCCTCCACCATAAATCAGAATTCCAGAATTAATTCACTCCTGCTTTATAGAATAGCATCTTCCCAGCCTCTTAAAGTACTTGGTGAATTATTTTTTTCCCTTTTTAACAGTTCCTGTAACTGTTCTTTCAGTGTTCTGGTGCGGGCACAGTGGCAGGCACAAACTTGGACTGTCCTCACAGATCTTACACTTTGGTGATGGAGACACAGGTGGAAATGAGCATTACAGGGTGGCAGTGCTCCTCTGGGAGCAGGAGAGGGTGTCACTCTATCTCTGTCTGAAGTGTGCAACGATCCCTGTGCCCTCCTGGTCTGGCTGCACTGCTGGTGATGGAGAGCGAAAGTGGAGGCATCTCTCCGTACAAGCCCCCTGCGACCACATTCACTTACATGTTTTGATTCAGGGCCCTCAGCAGCCCAGAACACCTTCATTTCAATCATAGAGGACATACTCTATCCTCTTAAGTGGAATAACTTTCACCATTCAGTCACTTTAAAGGATCAAGATGAAGGGCTAAACTTCAAGACTTTTGTTAAAATGCACATATATCCTTTACCAAAAAGATCAGATTCTCTGTCTGCTACCTCACTCAGCAGGTGCATTTTGCTGGCTAGGCCTCTGAGGGTCAATCATGGATATACAAAGCCCTGTTTCCAAGCAACTGGTACTATGATAGAATAGTCCCTGCACCCAGTATGTGTTCCTGTTTCCTGTAAGGAAGCTTGAAATTTTAGGTATGTAGAGAGGAAATAAAAATAAGAACAGAAAAACTCAATAACAGCAAATGAAGACAAAGCAGTTAAAGTGGGAGTAGCCAATAAAAGGCAGAAATGTAGAGATTGAATCATTAAAGCAAAAAGAACCAGATACCATGGGATGGCAAACTGACTCCTAGAACTCCAAGCTCTGGATGAGTGATGGCAGGGCCAAGCCAAGTGCCCATGTGAATTCACATAGGGACAGCTTCATTCTTTACCCTTCCCTGCAAGGCCCTTCCCACCCCTCAGTCATTCTCAGCCCCAGTAGCCATAACTGTGAGCAGGGGAAAGCAACAATGGTCCAAACCAATCAATATATTGGCTTCAGAAGAATGAAAGGAACGTCTTTACATTTGTGACTACATCTGGGCTGGTGAGTCACTGGGATTCCATTCACCCTCGTGAACTCTTGTTACTTGTTCCTGAGGACTTGGCCATAGCCCAAAGTGCCTCCATACTGAAGAGGAAAGAGCTTAGCAAAGAAACAGAGACTTGTGGGACTTCTGAAAGCTCTCTCCCAGGCTTATACCATTCCACATCTAATTCACGAGACCAGTGCTGTCAATTCAGTAACTACTGACACACACAGTTATTTAAATGTAAATAAACAGAACGAAATGTTACAAATTCTTTCCTTCAGTCTTACTAGCCATATAACCAAGTGCCCAGAAGCCACCCAGGGTTAGTGGCCCTCTTGCTGTCCAAAGCAGGTCAGGAACCTCTCCAGATTCACAGAAGTTCCCACCCTATAGAAGTGCTCTAAAACTTTTCACTGGAATTTCTAGGTGTCATACAATTTTATGAAGGTGTTTAGTAATTTTTTAAGAACAAAAAAGGGGTTTCTATCCTTTAAGAAGACATTTAAATAGCTGGACACCAGTGGCTCACTCCATTAATCCTAGCTACTGGGGAGGCCGAGATCAGGAAGATCACATTTCAAGGTCAGTACTGACACACAGTTTACAAGACTCCATTTCCCAAACAACAAGAACAAAATGAACTGGAGTTGTGGCTCAAGTGGTAGAGTATCTGCTTTACAAGTGGGACTTCCTGAGTTCAAACTTCAGTCCCACTCCCTCCAAAAAAAAGACATTTAAAGAAATTAGATTAATTTTCAAGGTGATTCTTGACCATTAACCGTTTTCTCATGGGCTGGTCAATCCAGTTATTTCTTCTGTTTTGGACACATGTGTGTCCTTGGAAAAGGGCTCTTTGAGCACCATATTGAAAATTGCATTGCGTTTTTCTTGCAGCACCTGTAATCCTTCCTGTCTTCTTTCTTTGTCTCTCATTCCCACTAGAACATAAGCTGTGGGTGGCGAGGACTAGAACTTGCTCTCTGCTGAATCATCAGTGCTACAACAATATCTGGAGGATAATAGGACTCAGGAAACGTTTCTGGGTGACTAACTTTTATAAATTGGTAGAAACTTGGTTTTCTCAGGGAAACTTTGCTGATGTGACTCACCAAGTTGCTGAAACCGATTACATTCAGAGCTTGTTTCAAAAGTGTGAATTTCTCCCTGTTCAGACCGTGCTCTGGGGTGTCCACATCTTCCTGTATGGTCTGCTTCAAATACCTGTTAAGACAAGCACACCGCATTCTGGCTTGGCTTAGAGTCAAACTCCAGTGGTTAAAGTCACCTCCACCATAATAGAAATCACCTGGACATTGGGTACCTGTCTGTTTACAAAGCTTTGTTACAGAATAGCACATGATGTTTCAGGAAAGGGAAAAAATAGTTCTTCTTGTACCAGAACATAGCCACGCTGTGTGACATGGCTCTCACCTCAGCTGCACCCTTTCTTGTGAAAGGAGAAAGTTAAAGACATTTTATGTACCTCCTATAGAGGGTTGCAGGTACTGCCTCGTGCATTCGATCAACATTTACATTAAAGGTGCTTAATTTAAGGCTGGGGATATAGCTCAGTTGCAGAGGGCTTGCCTAGTATATGGGAGATTCATGGTTCCATCCCAGTACCATAAACAATGATGATTAATTTCTACTAATTTATTACTCCTCTTCCCAGAATTCTTTAATTATGAAGCAGTTGAGCAATTCATTGATTTATTCTTTTCATTCAGTGAACGAATTGGCTACAAAATACAGGGGATGCCAAGCTGCTGAGGATATAAAGTAAAGGGATCTTCCATGGAACCCCAACAACTGGAAAATAATACATCCAGGAGCAGAGACAAGAAGATACAGAGTGTGAAGGAAGGGGTGGTACTCAGACATGGATGAGGAGGAACCACTGTGGGGAAGAGCAAACTTCAGTTCTGAGAGCTGACACATGAGTAAGAATTTGTCAGGTCAATTTGAGGCTGTAAGGCTGTCCCTTGAACAATTAGCAACAGGCACATGTAGGGTTGGTGAGACCTGATGGACACGGGAAGCATACGTGTCTGCAAAGTGGGGGGCTAGGGTGAGACAAGCGAAGATTGCTGGGGCTGGAGAAGTGGCCAGGGTTCTGCACACCTTGCAAAAGAATTTCAGGTCAGTTCTGGGAGTGACGGAAAGCTCTGAATGCCTGGAACGAGAAGAGGAAGGACCAACTTAGGGTTTCCGAAGGAGTAGTCTGTTACCCACTAGAAGACTGACTGGGAAAAGATGAAGAAGGTACAGATGGCAAGTGACCCAGGGACTGCCTACGAGTGGTGAAGAGAGAGGAAGGAGGGAATAAGGGGGAGGGGATGAGGGATGGTCTGGGAATAGGGGAGGAAAAACAGAGGAGCTAATGATACTTTTTAATCATCTTTTTGAGGAAAAAGGATAGATCCAGTGTCCATTCAACTATAGGTCATACTTAAGAGGAGGGATGTGTTTTTCTTTGAGAGAAAATTCTCATATTTACAACAGTCTTGTTGAATTTAGACTACTTGTTAATGCTCAAGCAGAAATCCAAAACAAAACAGATAGAAGGATCTCTGGTGCTGGGGAAAGACAAGAAACCATCTACACAGAGAAGACTTAAAACCCTGCCAGTGATAAGCTCACGCAGGAAAGACTTGAACATTTTAGGGCTGTCCTTTTTTTTTTTCTTGATTTCACATATGAGAGAAAATGTGTGATACTTGAAAGTAGAAGAAGGCTGTTAGGGAAAAGGAAGGGGATGGCGGGAGATAACAAAGGATGGTGGGACAGATAGGATCAAAGTGCGTTGTACCATGTTTGAAAATGTCACAGTGAAAGCCATTCTTTTGTACAATTAATACCCAGTAATAAAAATGCCAATCAGTAAGAACAAGTTGAACTAATTGCGAAAACCAAATTTAGGGCTGAAGAAAGAATCCAGTATTCAGGACAAGAGCAGGAAGAGCTAAATAAATCAGATAAGAATCTTCAGAGCAACAAGATAGTGCATTTTCAAGGCTGACTGATGGTGACACATGAAACCACAGGAGCAAGGAATTTGTGTTCTTGACAGTGAGGCTCAGAAGTGTTGGAGGGGCAGAGCAGGAGGATGTGGAAGTAGCCTTTGAGGAACTCTGGCCTCAGCGTTGTCTGAGAGCAGAGGAAACAGAGGCAGGGTGGAAGAGATCTCAGGTGTGGACCTGCTGAGACAGAAGGACACAGAGTCTAGACAAGAGACCGGTGTGGGCTGGGTCTGATCACTGGGTGGTGGGTGTACCTCCACCATGCAGAAAGGACACTGCCTTCCAGACCTGCCAGTTCAGGTGATGAATATAGTTCCCGAGCCCAGCAGCAGCTCAGAATGTTCCAGTGCTGGGGCTTCAATTTTCCCAGGAGAGTCAGAGTTCTGATGCCCAGGTATGGCTGACTTGAGGAAGGTGTGGGAATGTGCCATGCGTGCTGCAGACAAGGAGGACACCAGGAGGAGCTGATCTGCAGGTGCTCCTCGGGTGGATGGCAGCCACCACGGGGGTGGTGCCACACCTCCCATGGCTCCTTCCATGGCTCCTGTAGGATGAAGAGTTGTGGTTTGAGCCACAGAGTCAGAAGCAACAATGTGTCAGTAAGAGATGGGTTTATGATGGTTGGAGAGTCCTTCAGCCTAAAATCTAACAAATAGTCACAATGAAAAGAAATTGTGAGTGTTCTAGATACTTCTTCAGTATCTGTAAACACACACACACACACACACACACACACAGGGACAACTCCGACGGGGACAAAGCAGCTCTCCTGAGTCAGGAATGATGATTCCAGATTTGTTGTAAGCATTTTCCTCTCTAGCCAGAAAACTTAATGGCGTGAAGATGTGAGAAAAAGCCCATAATGTCCTTTATTCAAAATTGAAGTTGTCCTGACTGTTCAGCAGCATTAGGGTAATATTTATCAGATGTATTTCACCAAAATTGTATTTCTTAAACTGAGAAACTAATTGTCTGGTTTGCACATGTGAAGACCTAAGTTCAAACCTCGTTCCACCAAAAAAAAAAAAAAAGAGAGAGAGAGAGAAAGTAATGATAATTTTTTTCTGTAAATTAAAGGTATCAATGTTTCCTTTGATATCATTCAACCTCAAAATTTCACACAAAGGCAGAGAAATACCTGAGATGTACACATGGCAGGTATTGGAACTAAGAGTCCAGGGAGCCTGGATTCGCTCTAAGACACATTCAAATCTCCATTTTACTGTCTGCAATGCGAGGCCAACAGGAGTTAAAAATCATGAGTAAAAAGTTCTCCGTGTTTTGTTCCATGGCGAGTGTGGGTGTCACGTGAGAGAGGTACTCCACTCAGAATTTTGCACAGACAGCACGTGAGTATCTCCTGGAAGGATTCTGTCTCGTGGGGAACTGTCACTCAACATGTCCTCCATTAACAGATCTCTGAATCCAGTGAACAACTACGCCAAGTAATGAAACGGAGCATTCTGAGAAATTGTCACAAATATTGTTAGCCATGGGGAATGTCACAAGTCCCCAAATCCACTTTTCTGTTCAGAGACAAACAATAAACAGATGAAAGGGAGTGAACGCAGTTCTCGATTGTTTCACCACAATGCTGATGTGTGTGATACCACACGGCCTTTGCAGACTTGCTAGCCCTGGAAGATGGGTGGGAATGACTGTGTGTTGTGGTCAGAGTCCCCTGCAGTCTAACTTACGATGACACAGACTCCATCCCACTAATCCATCATGGTAGTTGCCATCCACCCTGGGTAAATCTAGCATGCTTACTTTGATGGAGAATTCAATTTTGCTCACCCAAAAATTAATGGTCCCTTAGTCCCTAGCATTCGAACCTTAGAACTCAAAATTCAACATCTCCCATACTACTTGTAACTGAGAATCCCAGACCTATAGCCTGATCAATCTGCTTTTTAATCATCTTCTATCAATTCATACATTAGTGGGGCAATATATAGATACTTCAATGTCCAAAGTAGGTGGATCAGGGCCAGTCACTTGTTATGGGTCTTTGTTATTTTGTTTTTAAAGAATGTCCAGCCAAGGGAACATGCAGGATATTTCTGTCAGGCGTTGGAGAAGGCCACAGATAGGCTGTGTATTGATAAAGTTGACTAATTGTGCTCCAAGGTAAGGTGGCAGGAGCTAGAACTTCACGGTTAAGGTTCAAATCCTCCACGGGGTGTTTTCTGAGCACCTCCTCAGCCAGTCTCCACCCTGATTCACAAAAGGAGTTGTTTTCTTACTTACTTAACACATAGGGGAACTGAGAATTGAAACCTGTCTGAAGTGACAGGTAGCTAAGGTATAGGTAGCAATCAACAAATCAGTGCACACCCTTTCTGACCTCAGGACATCTACAGCACAGCCCCAAGTTTCCTGAGGGGGTGGCAGGGGCGGGAGGTGCCCTGCTAGAAGTCAGCCCCTCCACATAACTAACAGAAAAAGCATAAAACACACTAGGAATTTGGTAGTTCAATTCCATAGGAATTTGAAGAAACTACATAGAATGATATTTCATAATAAGCAAGTAGAAGACTCCTGGCCTTAAATGTGTGGTCAGGTTGGTGGCTGAAAAGGCAGCTATTAAAACCTGTCCACACAGCTGCTATTTCCCTGCATTTCTTTGTTTATTTTTTTCATTCCTCCTCTTGAGATGTTAATCAATTATTTAAGCATGGTCATTTCTCCTTGAGGCAAATTCTTTGGTCTGAATAGTAGCTAAATACATCTGTGAGGGTTTTCTATAGATTATGAGCTTATTTCTTTTCTGTTTTGGTGGTACCGAGGTTTGAACTCAGGTCTTTGCATTCACTTGAGGTAAGTCTATAGTCCTTTTTACTCTGGTTATTTTTGAGATAGGGTCTTGCTTTTCCCTAAGGCTGGCCTAGACCACTACCCTCTCTTCTTATTTTATGAGAGGTGTGGGTGTGTACCACCACACCCAGATTTTTTCTGTGGAGTTGGGGTCTTGCAAACTTTTTTGCCCAGGCTAGTTTGGGATCACAATCCTCTCAATCTTAGCCTTCCATATACTTTGGGATGACAGGTGCAGGCCACCATGCCCAGTTGTTGGTTGAGATGGGGTCTCCTGAACTCCCTGCCTGGGTTGGGCCTTGAACTGCCTCCCTCCCAATCTCAGCCTCCCAAGTAGCTAGAACTATAGGTGTGATCCACCAGTGCCTGGCTTCCTTTTTTTTTTTTTTTTTTTTTCTGTGTTCCCAAATTTTTTCTAACAATCAATGATCAATCAAAACATAACACATAAACAAAACACACTTAAACAAAAAGCCATGAATTTCACAAAAATGGGAATACATTTCTCAGGAGATTCCTCCAGGGTGTTATGTGTCCTGGTAAATTGCTCCGTGTTTTCCAGAGCCGTGTTCCACGGTCTGGATGGACGACAGTGTGTCTGGCCACTCCACCTTGAGGGACATTTGGGTTATTTCTAGTTTGGGAATATTATGAATGAAGCCACTCTGAACACTCACAGAC